AAGTTTACTCAGCCATTTGTCATAAAAGGAGTGAATTTGTATGTTGGCACCAGACAATAGGGTGTTTACAGCACTGAATAGTTTGTCTCTGAGCAATGCAGGAGATGTAGGGTCACTCGTGACTTTAGGGTGAAAGGTAGTGTTGACTTGCATGATTCTCTCTAGTATGGTTGGAAGCTTTAGTTCTTTCCTCATGTTGATGATTCTTGTGCATCTTGGGGCACCAAGAATTATCCTCATGGCTTCATTCTGTACTACTTCAAGTTTGTCCAACACGGAGGCGGGGAAGTTAATTAGGTGCAAGGCATGATAATCAACTAGAGATCTAACAAATACCATATAGAATAATCTAGCATATTTATTATTGATACAAATATTCTTACCAGTAAGTGTTTTCAGTGGTTTAAGTCTTTCTTTTAACCTACGATGTAGATCGTTTACAATGTTACTGTTAATACCAACTCCAAGGTATTTGTGCTGCCAACCCGTTTCAATATTCTGGTTGTTGACCTTGAAAGTTAGAGGGACACGAATTTTCTCATGTGGATGGAGATCTCTGGATTTAGTTATATAGATAACAAGATCACATATAATGCTTTTCACAGCAAGTGAATCAAGTAAAACTTGCAGTCTAGTTTGAGTATTTGCAACAATGAATATGTCATCAGCATAACAGATGATGGCTTCGTCAGGTAGTGTGGGAATATCAATTGTTAATTTATGTATCAGAACAGTGTTGGGCTAAGCACTCCACCCTGGGGAGTACCCAACTCGAAGAGTGCACAATGTTTACTTTTGACCCCCTTGGAAAGGACTGAGGCGGTTCTATTACTCAGGTAATATCAGCAGTCCTGAGCCATATCAGTCATATCAGCAGTCTTCCCTTATCTCCAAAAGAAGAAAGAAGACACCTCCTGAAGACAGACTATCTCTACCTGAATGAAGAAGCACCGCTACTGCCGCCTTTCTGTCCCGTCTCCCAGCCTAGTCAGATGTTCGGTGGTTTTCAGCATCGACCAAAGACACATAGCTGGGTCAAGCCATGACACTTTCTCTTCAACTTCAGCTTTTCCTCTCACCGACTTCTCTTCAGCTGTCCCCATTTCAAGGCTCGCCCCATGGGCATCTCCTTCTGTATTATTGGACTGGATTGGATTATTTTAATATTATTTCTGTTTGTTGTATCAAAAGCAGTTTGGAGGTCAATAAATGAGGCCTGAGAGCATGGCCCCTCTGTAATAAAATATTCAGCAAAGCAAGTTTGTGTACTTCTTCCAAGAAAGAAATCATTCAGGTTAGGAGCAAGGTGGGGCCTAATTCGAAACATTAGTCTATCGAGTATAATCTTCTCAAGAACTTTACGCTTGCACGATGTCAGAGAGATGGGTCTGAATTTTTGTGAATTAGGCGCTTGGGTATGGGTATTATGAGTCCCTGTGTCCAGCGGTCAGGTAAGACACCCTGCCTTAGACTTTGATTAAACAATTCTAGCAAAGGGCTGTTTGGCAACTCAGCAAGTATTCTCATGGTATTGTGTGTTATGCCATCCTCTCCAGGAGAGGTATATCATGAGGTTATCTTGAGATGATTTCGGGGCTTTAGTGTCCCCACGGCCCGGTCCTTAATCAGGCCTCCACCCCCAGGATGCAGCCCGTGACAGCTGACTAACTCCCAGGTACCTCTTTACTGCTAGATAACAGGGACAACAGGGTGAAAGAATCTCTGCCCATTGTTTCTCGCCGGCGCCCGGGATCGAATCCGGGACCACAGGATCACACTTTACTTTTAGTAAGGAGGTAGCCTTACTTTTCTTGAGCGCATTTTTTATTTCAGCAGTGGTTTTATCATAGTTATCATCTGGCCCTATTTCACTTCAATATTTCAATTTTGAAGTTACGATTTATTTTGGTACTAGCCAGACGGTGTTGTACATCTTGGGGCAGACTGCTTATACTGGCAGTGCTCTCATATTGTTGAAGCAGCATGTCGGCATAGTCTACAGGTGAATGGTGATCAAGTTGACGACTGCTAGGATGAAAAATCCTTTTAATTAATTTTATTCCACATTTGGGATGAGGATGTTGCCTTGCAAAAACTGTCCACAGTGCTGGTTATACACCTGTTCCTTTAGCTCTCTAAACTCTCGGCTGGCCTTAAGAAATGTGTTGAGGGTGTCAGCTTTTTATGTGTTTTATACTGCTCAGCTTAAGTGAGAACTCTGTCATGCAGGGGCTTAAGGCGTGAGTCAGTGAACCACCTCAATCCCTTCCTCGCTGTTTTGGGTCTTGTGGATTTTACAATATTGTCATAAAAATCGATAACTTCAGTGACCAGGTCCTCATAGGTCCTCACTTCAGTGACCAGGTCTTTATAGGTCCTCACTTCAGTGACCAGGTCCTCATAGGTCCTCACTTCAGTGACCAGGTCCTAATAGGTCCTCACTTCAGTGACCAGGTCCTCACTTCAGTGACCAGGTCCTCACTTCAGTGACCAGGTCCTAATAGGTCCTCACTTCAGTGACCAGGTCCTCACTTCAGTGACCAGGTCCTCATAGGTCCTCACTTCAGTGACCAGGTCCTAATAGGTCCTCACTTCAGTGACCAGGTCCTCACTTCAGTGACCAGGTCCTCATAGGTCCTCACTTCAGTAACCAATCCCAGCAATGACGGTAGTAAAACAATAGGAGTTATACCATTCAGAAATGCAGTATTTGAAGTGCATGTGTAAACTTTCAGGGATATTGATTATTTCTCTTTTAAAAATTTGGGGTTTGACATTATTTATGGTGTATGAACTAGGGATGGCAAAATGATCACTAACTAATTCGTGAACAATTGATCCATTGACAGCTTTATCGATGAGACCGTGACCAATAACATAATCAAGTCTACAACCTCTGGGGTGTGTGACGTTAGATGAGTTAAAGTTGAATACTGACATGTTATTGTCTCAAAGATATTTAACAAAAGCCTAACCATTTCTATTTGTTTTGGTGTCATCCAAGCTAGTGTGTCAGGTTACCTTGAGGTTACCTAATGTCTGGCATTAAAATCATCCATCTCAATGGTTTGAGGGCTGCTGGTGATTTTTGGAAGACAAGCTTCGACTTTTTGATCGCACCTTACATATACATTAACTAAGTTAATAAAGCTGGTTGCTGTAATAGTCTGAAACTGCTGATAATATGAATCGTCACTTCTGTGGTTTTTATCAGGTTTACCTTCTAGATTACTTTTAACATACGTTAAGATACAGACATCATGTGAACCAACATATGAGATTACTACATAATCGAGAATTTGGGTGGTGTTCTGTTTTTTGTACTTGCAGTGTATAGTTCCTGCAGGCACAGTACATCAGTGTTGTTGGCACCAGCGTACATCATTAGATCAAACAGCCGCCTGCGCACGCTTCTCACATTCCACGTGAGAAATTTTTGTGATTCTGTCGTGAGTAATATTGTTCATGAACTTGACGAAGAGAAGTATTTACAAGGCTCACAAGTTGCAGACTATTGCTTACAAGTGACACTTTTTCAGGGTCAATAATATTAAAGAGATCTCTCATTTGTGTAATGGCCAGTTGATTGTCTTCACCTTTCCTAGCTTTTATAAGCATGTCTGAGATTATTATCCGTGGTATATAATATTGATGCTATTAACTGGAGATAGTGAAGACACTAACGCCAGATGTAGTGAATGGATAAATGTACTACTGGAGATGGTGATGACACTAGCACCAGATGTACAAGTGACCTCAGTCAGAAAGGGCGGCACTAGCAACAAATAAATGCTGTAATGACAGCATATTATTGTAAGACTGCACAGGGAGGCATAGAGCCGCTGCCGGAGCTCAAAACCTTGGCACTCCTTACCACTGAGTCATGGAGCTTCCGTAACTACTGAAGGTAGTTGTCAGAGTAGCTCATAGGTGTCTCACACTAATCATTTATTGATGTGTGTGGGCTATGAAAGTGATTCGAGTCCAAAGTATCCAGAGCAACACCTTTGATCACTTTCAAGCGTAAGGGCAGAGTCAATAATTCGTACAAGGGTCTTAGAAGGTATGAACATAAAGGCACTTGTAGTTTCAACAATAACAATTTAATAATAAAACTCAATACTAGTGATACAAGACAAGAATAGTTTAACATTGCGTTAAAGCCCGGCGTGGCGGTGTCAAATCTAGGCAAATCTGAAGAAACGCACTTTCGGTTCAGACCGCTCGCGGTGCCAACAATAACTACACTTAACACAGTGGGCGACCACTCCAGACGCAAGTGGCAGCTCGTCACGACTGCGGCAAACAATAATAACAACACAAATAAAACAACAGGCAGACCAGTCACTGAGACCCGCCTTCCGTGCAACACTCAAGTAATTACGTTAAGGCTCGCTTCTCAAGACGGAAGTCAAGCAATCAATTACGTTAATACACAAAGACAGACTGATGACACTTGATCAAATCAATTATATTACGTTATTTAGTAAATCCAATTACGTTAATCTGTCTTCAAGACAGTCACATCAAACAAGGTAAACTACGTTAATAACACTCTGTCAACACAGACAGTCAAGCAATCAAAAGAACTCAATGAAGTCAAACAACAACTTCCTGGTAATTAGCAATCCCTGAGTAATCGCTCAAGGTTCTATCAAACTTGACAGTTCAACTGAACTCACATTAACGCTAGACGATCACTGAGACCGCTTGACAAACATTGATTAGTCAACACAATTGCTAATCACCTCTCATTAATAATGATGTTAAGTAAATTACAATAACTCTATGACACTAACTTCACAATAATGAACACTAAGTAACCCTGACTTTCCAATAATGAACACTACGTCACAACAACACTGGGTCACTAGACCAACACAAAACAGTGCACAATTCAGTGCTTAACAACAGCACTGAACACCACAACACACTGACACTTATGTCAATAAAAGGATTGAATACAATAATAGTACAATAACACTCTTATTTAAAATCACTGCATGTGTAAATGTGTTAAATATAGTGTAACACCGGTACTGGCATCTGCAGGCAAATGCACCTCCGCCACCATTGTAGATTACAACGCAACCGGAGCGACCCCCGCCGTCGCCGGAAGATTCACAGTCGTCAAACTCGCCAACATCAGCCCATGCAGCAGAAGCCGGGCGATCCGACGCTTGTCGTAGAACAGCAGCATCCTCAACCACATGGGGAACCAGGCCAGGCACAGGATGAGGCGCTGTATCCATCCCAGCACCCATCACAGCCAGGACACTAGGCGAGGATGCAGGGCCAGGCGCAGCAGCAGAAGACGCGGGAGAGGAAGACGGCGATGCCTCGCAGTGACCACCAGGAATGCCCATAGGAGCAGCAGGAACTGCGACAGGAGCAGGAATATCAACTGACGGCACTGCAACTCCCAGAGTAGGGTCCACAACAACCGGAGGAATGTCGGGCGGCACAGGGGGAGCTGCATCTTCTAACGGGTTGCTCACTTCCTCACCTCCAGAGTCCTCTTCCAGCGGGAGTGGCGGGAAATCCTCTTCCTTGAACATGTTCACGGGAGCAGTCGCAGCCTCAGTGCATCCGGCAGCTTGATGCCCCAACAGGCCACAACGAAAACAAGTTCGTGGTTGCCGGGCATAGTACACCCGGACATAGTACCCTAAAAGCCGGACAGAAGATGGAATGTCCGACTGCAGGCGAATCCCTAGGGTACGAATGTTGGCCCTCATACCCGTAAACTTGCCAGAAGACAGCGTGGGCGTCTACATACTAACGACGGCACCAAACCGCTGGAAGAAATGCCGGAGGAGGGTCTCGGGAAACTCCATGGGGGCCCCATGGACACTCACATACGTCATGGCACCGCTACGATCTGTAATGGCCACAGATCCGGTGCCATCCTTCCGCAGCAAGGTACGCCCCTCGTACCTTCGGAGAAAGACACGGTACACCACTTCTCCAACAAACTTTATAACTACACGGTGAGCAGTTACCAGCTCAACACCGAAGATGTCCATTACCGGGATACAGAGAGCATGTCACACATGACAAGCTCCACCACAGGGTATCCCGCATGCCCAGTAAACCCCAATCCCATGGAGTTGACCCTCACAGCATGGGAAAGATGATGTCGGCCATAGCAAACGTGCCATATCAACACCAATCTGGAGGGAACAGCAGGGAGGGTAGATACACCTACATGCCCTGCAGACTAAAGCGGCAAACACCCCAACTACCAGAGAGGCCAGGCGACACGTCCATACCTTACGGCTGCTAGGGTGCAACTCATGCACAGTAATAAAATTTGTAAAATATAGTGTACGATGACAAACACACTTAAGGTTCAGTTACAGTTATCACACAGCTGTAATAGGCCTTTACCTATTGTGCTTCCTCGGGGAATCGAACTTTTTCCTGTGGGGGGATTATGAAGAATAAACACCGATCGGCTGACTGGGTCAACACAAGGAATTTGGCACTTGAGACGAATGATACAGTGAAATAATAGTTTTCGTATTCACTTTGATTGTACCGGTATATTCCACACTCGGCAAAAATTCCCACACTCACTATGACCTTGATTGTACTGGTATAATCCACACTTGGCAAAAATTCACACTCACTATGACCTCTGTTGATTGACGACAGAAGGCGGAATAAGGAGAGCAGGGTAGCCACAGGGTAGAGAAACGATAGGCAGAGTTTCTTTCACCCTATGCCCCTGTTACCTAGCAGTAAATAGGTACCTGGGAGTTAGTCAGCTGTCACAGGCTGCTTCCTGGGGTGTGTGTGTGTGGGGTGTGGAAAAACTAGTAGTAGTAGAAACAGTTGATTGACAGTTGAGAGGCAGTCCAAAAAGAGCAGAGCTCAACCCCCGCAAGCACAACTAGGTGAATATAGCCACGTGAGGCGGAGTAAAGAGAGCGGGGTAGCCAGGAGGTGGAATAAGGAGAGTGGGGTAGCCAGGTGGAATAAGGAGGTGGAATAAGGTGGAGTGGAGTAGCCACGGGAGGTGGCAGAGACTGCCTCGGACAACGAGGGGTGACGAGATGGTGTAGCCACGAGACACTAAGGCCTAGAATCGCCTGGCTCCCATACTGATGAATTCGGGAGCGAGCTTATAAATGTACACCGGGTATATACTTTAGCGTGAGTTTTTTGAAGGTTGACTGAATGCATGCTGAAATAACTTTGGGGCACCACGTGGTAAGTGCACGAGGTGAACAGCACGGTGGACGAAATAATCAGAGTCCACACTCCCCAATATTTTGAATATCATTGCTGAATCTTTACTCAAACACAAGGAATCGCATTACTCGATCCCTTCCACACAGTTTACTTAGCGATATGGTGACGGATCGCACGGTACTCAGCCGATAAACACTTATACTTGGCTACAGTCCAGTTGCACCTGTGGACTGTGTACCAGCCGTCACACGTGTGACGGCCGGTATTTCTATCTTGTATCTTTGTTATGTGACATCTACCAGCGCCCTGCGATTACCGGATTCAGCGACGGTAACGTGAGGGAGGGTAGATTCATTTAAGCTGGCTGAACTGTGATGTAGACAGGCAAATTACCGGAACAGGACAAACCACGTCTACACAAGACAACGCTGGAGTTCAGAATGAGGTTTCTCTAGGCAGGAAATCTTGAGGCCGCGTGCGTCCCTTTGGTGGTGAAACGGCCAATCAGGTTCGAGCATCGTGTAGGCACAGGTGCTGCGACCAATGGCAGAGAACATGCCGATGACGTGACGTCACGATCTAGGGACCGTTACCCCAAGACAAGTGCATGCCTCTCTCTCTCTCTCTCGCTCTGTCTCTGGGAGACCAGAGACCAAAATTCAGGCTGATCCTGTAACTATTGATCCAGAAATGCTACAGCAACGATCGTTACTTTTCTGGACAGCTGAGGGTGTCTGCTTTCCAAAGACACCAAATTTCGACCTTCTATCTGCCATATTAAGAAAGATATTACTTTGTGCACACTTGTGCACTCTCTGGGGATTTCTAAGGTCAAAATGGCGATTTTCTACTTCTATCAACTATGTGCAAGCTAACTCAGAGATGCAATCTCAGACAATGTCACATTCATCATGATTCATGGAGGTACAAGAGGTATTGTTTGGAATGAGTTCTTGAGTGCATTTTTTTATTACAGTTAAGACACATGGGTTTTCATTTGTTACACTCGCCACAGCGGTACTTTCAGCCCCAGATGAGGCGTCAATATTTGCTTAAGAGGTATCAACACTTACATCACTTGAAGGTATTTCATTAGATACTTCGCCATTCACTTCACACCTCGGGCTAGCGAGAATATCGATTGAACTTTGTTTCAAGTTGTCCATACACCTGAGTTCTTAGACAAAAAAGAAGTTGAGACTATTTAAAATTTCGCAAGTGTTTCTTGGAACTTATCGATGTTAATTTCCATTTTTCTCATGCGAGCTGATAGTTCCAACACCTCAATCTGCTGGCTGGAGTCAGACTTCCCAGTTAGGCCAGGAAAGGATGCCCAGCTCTTGGTGTCAGGAATGGTGAAGGGGCCATTCTGGGTTGCGAGTGGGCTGGTGTGGTGGTGGGATCGTCTCAGGTGGTGGGGCGGCTGGTGTGGTGGTGGGTTGCCACACTCTGCTGTACGGAGGACGACGCCTGTCACAGTCCTTGTGCCAGGCGGTCACACCTTCCGTGAGCACCTGGAACACTTGTTCTTGCCGGTTGTGGATGTAGTCTCATCTGCCTCAAGAGCGTGGTCTTTATGTTATCTTCGTGGTATTCTTTAGTTGGATGATTGGCTGCACATAAAACACAGGTGACTGGAGATCTAAAATGATTGGCTATGTGACCAAAGTGGTGACACTGATAACACATGACAGCTGAGGATACCCAGGGTGTTATGTGACAGGCTGGTTGGTAGGGGCCTAGAAAGTTGAAACGACTAGGGTACGGCGCTTCATTTTCCCAGACGATGACAATCTGTTTTAGTGACTTCCCCCCAGACTTGATTTGTCTTGCACTGTACACACCTGATAACTCTTTTGCACAGGAGATGTCAAGGTCAAGTGGTTAGAGACTGACAAGATATTCTTTGTACCTCCTAAAGACAGGCGTCGTCCTCCGTACAGCACAGTGTGGCGACCCACCACCACACCAGCTCGCAGGAAAGTCGGCGTTACTGAATGAGATGCCACCCACTTTACCTTGGAGTAGGGCAGAAATGGCGTTTTCATGGAAACTGGCTACATAGATGTAGGGTGAGGCGTGTCTAGGGCGTATAAGGTGTATGGGGTCAACAAAAGCACGAGGGTGATCACGGTTCATGCAAGAGTACCTCTTGTTACTGTTAACTTCAGGGGAAATGCCAGCCTTTCATATTTATCCCAGGTTGGTAGAGGAGGTCGTGTTCCACCCTATGTGGGGGTGGCATTGGTCATCTTGACAGCAGTGTTGGCTTTCATGGTCTTTCTCTCTTTGCGTAAGGTATTCTGGCTTTTGTGGATAACAAAAGCAGTTTGATTCTTCTTCATCACTTGAGCTGACGTCCTCGTCATTCTGGGATGTAATGGGATAGAGTGCTTGTTCATACTGTACTTCAACTTCATACGGGGTGGGGGCTGAAGTGGACGCATATTCGTCTGGAGCATTTTGAAGAATGGCAAACGGGTCACTGTGGATGTCCCCAGCAGGCAGGGGAGTAGTAGCCATGATCACAAGAATCACAGCATGAAGCGACAAGACACGTCAGCTTTTACCATAGAGTAGCACCTCAGGCTATGGCCCGGACCCAGAGCAACAACAGGTGCTAATCATAATGCAGAAACAAAATGTGTAATTCAAACACCATGAGGAGGCACAACTAGGAGGCGGGTTACAGATTTTGATTGTTGCCGCCGGATGCGGCTAGTTTATTTTGCACCCCATACCCATCCTGTGAGCGGTAGCGCAAAAAGCATTACAGAGGGCACAAAAGGTCTTTATCAGAGCTCATCTTAGATTATTACATAAACAGTTTCATTTATCCTTCACACCTTATAGTTACAATGTCAGCTAGTTACAGAGAGAGTGCTATTTCAAGAGCTATACATTTACAATAAGTCATAATACATTAATGGTAGATCTTATCGCTAATACATAATAGTTTGACCAATGGAGATAGTCAAAGGGTAGCTTCTCTTTGTTATTAGTCTTCACAAGTCTACTTGTCTATTAGTCTACTTGTTTCTTCATCTCATATGTCGTTTAACTACTGGAAGCGAAATATGGATACAGTGCAAGGATTTCAGGTAATTTATCCATGGTAATAAGATAGGTTGCCATATCATAGAGAGTGAGCTTAGATCTATCTCTAAATGGCTCAACCTTACTACAATCCAAGATATAGTGTTCGAGTGTGTGTCCCTGTCTGTGTCCACACACTTTACACTTTACTTCATCTAGATCCCTATACAAGCCGAACTGCCAGAGATACTTGTAGCCAAGTCTTATACGAGCTGTGATAACATCTGTTAGTCTACTTACTTTGTTACTTGCCCCATACACATGT